GGCTGAACTAGGGCCGGGGTTGGATCAAGGACAGAGAACGATGTTGAAGGCCACGAGCTGACTGGACCCCAGAGGCCTCCTTGTTTAAGGCTGCTGGGCTGGGAACTTGGCCTGCATCCAGAGAGCACCCCCACAACACACACACAGACACACACACACACACACACACACACAACACACACACACACACACACACACACACACACACACGCCCAGGATCCGGCTGGCAAGACTTCTTGACACTTAGCATTTCTCAGTCTGCATCCAGAGAGCATCACCCCCAAGACACACACACACACACACACACACACACACACACACACACACACACACAGTAGCCCAGGGTCCAGCTGGCAAGACTCCTTGACACTTGGCATTTCTCCATCTAAAACAGTACAGATTCCTCCCACCTGGGCTAAGTTCCAGAAAAACTGGTTCATTCCATTAGAGTAGTTCATTAGTCCTGATGGGCTCAGTCCCCTCCACCAATGTCCTGGGGAAAGGGGAAGCAGCTGTCTGGAGAGGCAGATCAAACTCAGGTTCCTCTTGGGTGCTCCTGAAGTCCAGGGATTCTTCCCTGCTTGAGTCAGCCCTGGGCAGAATGGAGGGACTCAGAACCCAGGCAGCTCAGAGCCACGGACAGAGGGCGGATCCCCACTGAGTCTTTCTGCTCCGCAGCCAGCACTGTGCCTGGCATGGATCAATCTTCATAAGGGTTTGGGGTTGAATAACAGGCATAGTCATCTGCCATCTCAAAGGTTCCTTTCCTCCTAAGATGATGTAAATAAAGAATGCAATTAGCCAGGCGTGGTGTGCCTGTAGTCCCAACTACTTGGGAGGCTGAGGCAGGAGAATCACTTGATTGAGGTGGAGGTTGCTGTGAGCTGAGATGGCGCCACTGCTCCCCAGCCTGGGCAACAGAGACTTTGTCCCAAAAAAAAAAAAAAAAAATAGCAGAGTGCCTAGCATCCACCAGTCAGTGTGTCAGTGGGGGAAACACCCAAGTCAGATTGTGACTGCCTCTTCAAGGCAGGGACTCTTGCCTGGTCCTTTGTATATTCCCAGTGCTTAGCACAGTCCCAGGCACTCAGAATACCTGATTCATACTTGATGCATGGAATTAATGAGGCAACGGGGTGAGGAGGAGCCCTCCCTGTCAGTTTCTTGCTGTGTGGCTGAGTGTACTAGATTGGGAGTCAAGAAACCCAGGCATTGGCCCCAGTCTTCCCTTTGTTTGGTTGTGGGAATTCTGGTTAAATGTCTTTTCTCCTTTGAGCCTCAGTTTCCCCCATTGTTACACAAGGAGGTTTGGCCAGATAATCACTAAGGTTCATGTTCCAGTTACTATTGTTGTGAAACAAATTGCCCCCAGTATGTAGTGGTATAAATCCAACCAGCCATTTTATTTTGCTCATTATTTTATGGGTCAGGAAATTAGGAAGTGCTCAGTTGGATAGTTCTTGCTTAGGGTCTCTTAGGCAGCTACAATCAGGTATCAGCAGGCTGCAAGCATCTGAAGCTCAGCTGGGCTACAGGTTCAGTATGAGTGTTCATGCGGCTGGCAGTTGACATTGGCTGTTGGCTGGACACTCAGCTGAAGCTGTCACTCTAAGCATCTGCAAACATACCGCCTCCCTAGCACCGCAGTCTCAGGGTGGTTAGCCGTCTTACATGGCAGCTGGTTGCCTCTAGAACCAGTAACCCTAGAATACCAGGCGGAAGTGGCACAGCCTTTCCTAATCTAGCCTTGGAAGTCACATAGCATCACTTCGGCTATACCCTGTAGGTCAGAGGAGGCATTTGCTCATCCAGAATCAAGAGGAGGAGCATAGACTCCACTTTTGATGGGAGAAGTATTAAAAAGAATTTGGGGCCTTTGTGTGTGTGTGTGTGTGTGTGTGTGTGTGAGGAAATCTCACTCTGTCTCCCAAGCTGGACTGCAATGGCTCAATCTTGGCTCACTGCAACCTCCACCTCCCAGGTTCAAGCGATTCTCCTGCCTCAGCCTCCCAAGTAGCTGAGATTATAGGCATCTGCCACCATGCCCAGTTAATTTTTGCATTTTTAGTAGATACAGGGTTTCACCATGTTGGCCAGGCTGGTCTCAAACTTCTGACCTCAAGTGATCCACCCGCCTCAGCCTCCCAAAGTGCGGGGATGACAGGCATGAGCCACCGCGCCCGGCCTATTCTTTTTTTAAAAACAAACAACAACAAGAAAACAAAAACAAAACCCCACCATAACCTTGTGGCCCATGGAATACTTCAGGCTTGGCCCAAGTCCTGTGACTGGAACTGTCTGGTGGTGACTGCTTAGGTGAACAGGATAATGTACAGGGCCGATGAGACCCCCACACCCTGGCACTCCCTTTCCTGGAGAGAATACCTTTTCTCCCCTCCTTCCTTGACTTCTACAGATTTTACGCTGAAAATGTTCTTTGCAAATAGCTTTAGGATACGGGTCATTGCATAGCTGATGGGACCCCCAGAATGAAGCCGGCCCCATGGCCTCGCCCAGGACTGCAAGCAGGAAGGAAGGAAATATTTAATGAGCACCTATTGTATCCCCATATGGAAAGAAGTCTATATTGTATTCCAGTAGATAATGCTGATGAAGTTCATTTTTTCCCTCATACCATCTCTAAGGAAGAGATTTTATTGTCATCCTTCTTTTACAGATCAGAAAATGAAGCTTCCGGGGTTTAAGTGGCTTCCCCAAGGTGGTATGGTGGGTGACAGACCCGTGATTCAAACTGCTTATGCCACCTGCCCTGGGACACACCGGAGGCAGAAGCAGCAGCTTCACATGCCCTCCCACCTGCCCTTCTCATCCTGCTGCCTGCTTGCTCCTTCCACCCAAGGCCCAAACATACCCACTCACCTCCCCACCAGAAATGACTTGTTGTGTCCCAGTTCTGTGGCTCTAAGCTGATATCCTCTCAGGAGAAAGCTTCCACCCAGGTGCTGGTGACTGAAGACAAAGATCCCTAACACTCAAGAATCAGCCCATTACCTGGGCAGCCACAGATTCTCCCTGCTCCCCATCAACAAGTGGGGGCTTCTGTGTGCCCTCCCCTTTATTCCAGCAGATGCTGTGACCCACAGAAGGTGGTGGAGGCACTGTGCCATTTTCCAGGCCCAGGCCTTAAAAACCTGACAGCTTCCACCTCCTGTTTCTTGAAATGGTATCTCTGGGGACCCTGAGCCCCTCAGTCAGAAGTCTGGCTGAGTAGCCATGCTGGAGAGGCAGTCGTAGGTGCTCACTCTGGCCAGAAGGCCCAGCAAAACCCAGTCTTCCAGCCATTCTCACTGGGGTGCCAGGCATTTGAGTGAATGTGAGGGCAGCTGCCTTGGGTCCTCCAGACGACTTCGCTGCAAGTTGAGTATCACTGAGTGACCTTAGTTGCCACCAGAAGGGTTGCTCGGACCAGTCCTGCCTGAATTCCTTGCTCACTAAACTGTGAGGTAGAATGGTTTTAAGCCACTCAGATTTGGGGTGACTTGGAACACAGCAATAGATAACTGGACCAACATGTGTTATCTCACTGAATCTATTTATTATCTCTATTTTACAGACTAGGACATTTAAGCTCAGATGAATTAAGTGACTTGCTCAAGACCTCACAGGAAGCAGGGAGCTGGGTGGCATTTGAACTTGAATTTGACAAGTATGATTCTAGATCTCCTTCGCACCAAAGCCCTTACTATGCTGCTGCATCTTGGTGGGTCTGTGTGCCCCTCCTGGCAGGAGGCTCGCATCTCAACCAAAAACATTACCTTCAACCAAAAGACTGAAATACAAGGAGTGACTTTCCCAGCACCAGGCCATTTCCCTGTTTGAAAGATACACAGGGAGATGTGGAGTCGTCAGGCAGGGCTCCTCCCTCTGCCAAACTCAGGACAGCAGAGCTGATTTTCACATCTTTATTCATCTATAGCTGGCATGGAGCCTGTCCAGAGTGGGTACATAATGAATGTTTGTTCAACAAATAAACTAACCCACAAAGGAATCAATGAGAGAGGAGAGAAAGGCCAGCAGGCTACAATCTGGTGAGAAAGGTTTTCCTGCCATCTGGTGGCTATTCCTGGAACAACACTTTCAATGGCAAGAGAAGAAAATGGCAGGCTCCTTCAGGGTCCTTGGCTGTGTGTGTCCGAGTGCAAGCAGCATCATTTCAGCCTGGAGCCGAGCGAGGTGGGGTGAGGCCTCCTCCAGGAGCCAGACTTCTTGTCTCTTTCAATGTCGGTGCTCCTGGAGGGTGAGGCAGGAAGAAGAGCTTCCCTGGCCACCAGCACATTCTGTTCTTCACGGTGCTGAGTATTCAGTGGTTGTTTAATAAATGAATGCTTGGTACTGGAATGTTAGAACAGAGGTGATGTCAGATCCCCTAGTTCATCTTTACCTGCTACTGAAGTGTGCAAAAGAGATAGCTATCTTGAAGACAGGGGCAGAACTTAGAATATGCCTGTTCCGGGTAGCCCACCCCACCACTCCAGCACCTGAGAGTCCCCCGCCTCGTCATCCTCATGCTCAGACCTCTGGGCACCGGCACCTTCCCACTCCTGTCCTTTGCTGAGATGGGTCTCCACACACCCGACCCTTGCCAGGCTGACAAGTGTAGCTTTTCCTGGCAGGCAGGCAGGTCAGGAGTTTCCCCTGCAGGGGCCCGTAAGAGACTACCAAATACCATCCTCATTTCAGATGCAGCTTCACCTGGAAAAATCTAGACAGTAAAGGATCTCCCTCAGGAAACTGTTGCAAAGATGACAGAAAATTAGATCTGAGGACTCGCTGGACCCCAATAGGGCCTGCTACAAGTGTGTGCATTGTTACTACGTGGGTCTATTCCTAGGAAAATACAGATTATGACCCTGCCCACACCCCCCGCACTGCTCAGCAGCCTGTCCACCCATCCCAGTTCCCTCCAAAGCTTCCCGCAGGATCCTTGGCCACCCATCCGTCTCCCTGATTGCAAGAGCAGGGGATAAAGGCAAGAAGGGTTTGGTAAGAACAGACACTTTATTGTACACCATGGCGGGGGAGAGAGGAAGAGGGGTCTAGGGAGACAATGCCTCCTCCCCTCCCTTGGGCTGAGTGGTTTGGACCCAGGGCTCTGACCAGCCATGGGACACGTGGTCTTGAATTGTTCTGAACTTACGCCAGAACCCAAAGGGACGCCCGGTGTATGTGCTCGGGTCTGTACAGAGCAGAGCTTTCAATGAGAAGGGGCCCTGGGAGGTCCCCTCCCCAGCCGCAGTCATCAGACCCCAGTGAAGCAGCAGACCTCACATCTCAGGGCCTATTTGAAGGACCCAGGGATGCTCAGGGAGCCAGGTGCAATCTAACTGATTCAGTTGGCTCTCTTCACAGTGGGGAGTACTCTGGGGGAGGGGGTTGAGGGGTTGGGGGGAGGAAGGGCAGAAAAGCAGTCCCCTGCCTGGCAATATTGCAGTGCCTGGGGCCATGGCTCCCGGGCCCCAGCCTCATGACCCACACAGGCTAACTCAGAGCAGGGATTCTCCTGGCACTGGGAAAGCAGCAGGCCCTGCAGACGTATTGCTGGAGGGCATAAGCCGACCTCACTGGCATTAACTCATGTACCCTCCCTGTTCAGCCCCCATCTGGGCCTCGGGCTTCAAGTTGCCTCAGTGCAGAGGGCGGAAGGCTCCCTGAGCAAGAAGCTGGTGATGGGGCTGGAGGACAGGCACGGGTAGGGGATCAGGGGACTGTTGACTCTTTCAGGCACATCCCTGCCCTGGAGTTCTCTCTGCCTCCTGGCGGGCACTGTGTGGACAGCACCAAAGCCAGTGGGGGTGGGGACCCTGTGCAGGGGCTTGGGGACGTGGTCCTCTCCTGCTGCCTCCTGTTCCTCCAGGATTCTGGGGCTGGGTCTTAGCTCATCAGGTGACCACACCTGCCCTTGACTCCAAAGGCGTCAGAAGCACAGTGGGGAGGGGGCAGGCGGCCCCTTCCAAACTGTCGGGACTGTGTCAAGGCAAATGCAGCAGTTCAATGAGATCCCTCTCGAGGCCTTGCCATCTGAAAAATCCCAATACTTTTCCTCTGCAGAAGAGCTTTGATTCTACTGGGAACAGCAAGAAGCTGACTGGTAAATAAATTTGAAGATTTTTTTTTCCAACGCCCTCCTTCCCTGTTTCTGGCAAACCCAGTGGTGTGAAGGCAATGAGTCACTAGCAAGAAACACATGCCTTTCCCCACAGCAGGGGGCTCCCAAGGCACCCTGCCGGCCCTGAGGCTGCCTGCTGATAGAGCCGAGAGGAGGAAGAGGAGGCAGGGGAAGGGACCACGGTCTTCAGGAAGATGGTGAACATTGGGAGTCACAGATCAGCACGCTACACACACCCACACCCACATATGTGCACACCATACACACACACACACACACACACACACACACACACACACACGTACACACATGCCCCAAGCTCTGGGCCCTACGTCTAACACACAGCGAAGACACAGCAAAAGGCTACATCAAGCACTAGTGAGCCCACACCTAGCAAGCACACAGCCCCAGCTCAGCCCCTCCCGCTGGGGCCTGGCCCAGCCACACGCTACAAAATTAAAAATATATCAAATATACAATGAAAATAGATCTGTACAGCACTGAGGATGAAAATAGTCCACCAGCCACAGTATAATATTGGGTTTGTCATTTAACAGCATTTACACCCACATGTACAGAGTGAATATACAATAGAAATAGAATCTATAGAAGAGTATATATAGTAGAGTGTCTCTCCTGGGGTTTTGCTTTCCTGTTGCTAATTCTGCCTGGGATTCTGCAAGGGGCCAGGTAGGAGATGTTGTCAGGTGAGGTGGCCTACGGCGGGATGTTGTGCCCCAAAAGCTCATCTCTTTGGGGAGATGTGGGTCTCTCTCTCCCCTCAAACACTCAGGAAGAACAGGTAGGGGAGAAGGGGCTGGAAAGGGGAGGGTGTGGAAGAGGGATGAGTAAGGGAGATGGTAGGTTGTGGGATAGACTGCTCCCAGGCTTGGGGAGACAGTAAGGAACTTGGGGGTAAAGAAGGGGACACTGATTCTGGTCTGTCCCTCCAGGTCCTAAGAGCAATCTGAGCCACAAGAGTGACTCGGGACCCTTTGTGAAGGTGTCCAGGTTGAGCACTGTGGCCTGTTTCTGCCCTGCCCACCAGAGCTCTCAAAGATGGAGCCAGTATTCCCTCCTTTCTCCCTCCCTTCCTTCCTTCCTCCCCCAACCCAACGTTCATCCATCCATCATCCATCCATCATCCATCCATCCATCATCCATCCATCCATCATCCATCATCCATCCATCCATCATCCATCCATCATCCATCCATCCATCATCCATCATTCATCCATCCATCAATCCATCCATCATCCATCCATCCATCCATCATCCATCATCCATCCATCCATCATCCATCATCCATCCATCCATCATCCATTCATCATCCATCATCCATCCATCATCCATCCATCCATCCATCCATTATCCATCCATCCATCATCCATCCATCCATCCATCATCCATCCATCCATCCATCATCCATCCATCATCCATCCATCCATCATCCATCATCCATCCATCCATCCATCCATCCATCCATCCATCCATCCATCTCTCTGCAGACATTTACTCTTGGGTCAGTTTCCTCCCTGGCTGCACTCTGAGAATGGGCTCTCTTCCAGAGGAGGCCTGAAGATAATGGCGGGTGGGGTTGCTGTTGTCAGCTGCAGCCTCCGGCATGGGCTGGCCCCCATCCTTGAAGACCAGCCCTTGCCTTTGATAGCCTCTACTGTCCACAGCACGGCCTGTGGTGCTGGCTACTATGGGCCAGGGAGGCTTGGGAAAGGTTTCCAAGGTGTCTGCACATGATGTGCACATGGGGTGGCTGTGCTTTTGCAATAAGGAGAGTGAGAGGTGGCTCAAAGGGGCAGTGAAATTATCTGTCTTTCCCCAGGAGTGAGGCTTCCTGGTGATAAGCCCCTGAACTCCGGGGACCCCTGTTCCAGGGGAAAAGCTGCCACTAGACAAAACATTGGGCCCCAGCTGAGGAGGGTGGGGAGTGTGCTTCACAATTGTGCTCCTAACCATCTAATTTGTGCTGGGAACCAACAATTTGTGCTCCGGAAACCTCTCCTTGCACTGTTTCCTTCTTTCTCCAGGAAAGAGGCAGAGGCCACCACTGTGGGCTGGGGAGGGGAGCTGGGGACAGGGAGATGGCTAAGCCCTAATTGAGGTGGGGAAGGTTCTGGTCCCAGTCACTGTACTCCCAGGCAAGACACAGGAGCTCACACCACCCACCCCAGGCAGGGCCAAGGACATGGGAAGGTTCCACCCAGGGACCAGGGCAGAGGAGGTTCCTCACCTTCTGCTACCAAGGCTCAAGTCCAAGCTGAGGACAGCACCCACCTTAGACAACAGAACTTGGGGCTTCGGTGTATGCCCTCCCCAGTCTGAGCCCTGAGCCCTGGCATACCTGCTTCCACTTCCGCCTTCAAGCAGGTAGCCTTTTGCGTTGGGAACATCCCCTTCTGGGCTGGGTAGGATGGTGTCCTGTTCTCATGGCAGAGTGAGCCAAAGTCCACTCTCCTTCCCCAGCCCCAAGGCTCTCACCACCACCATCTGGCAGCTCAGGGGACCCAAGAGCCCTAAGAACTACAGGTGGCAAGTTACAGAGAGAGAGGGAGGTGAGGGCCTTCTGCAGTGGCCACCTGGAGTCTCCCATGGACTGGGAAGTAGGACTGATGGGTTGTTTCAGTTACACGGCTGCAATCTGGCGGAGGCTTTTGGAGGGCTGGATGAGTGGGGTCCTGAATTGGGAAACCGAGCTGCTCCCAGCTTCCTGCTCAGGGCTAGGGAGTAGAGTCTACTGGGACTAAAGAGGGGAGTGAGGCAGGGCAGACCCTCTCTTCTTGGGCAAAGGGCCTGGCCTGGGCCTGGTGGCCACCTGGAGGAAGAGGCCAGGCCTGGACAAGTGGGCAGGTTGAGCATTGGGGGAGAGGTGGGTAGGGCTGGGGCAGTGGTCACAGCTCCGACTCAGGGGTGCTGGCCAGGAGGTAGCCGCTCCCATAGCGTCCATTGGGGTTACCGCTGGTCTCCAGGGGCGATGTGCTGCCGGGCCCCAGATAGGAACGGTGAGTGGGCATGGGGGAAGGTGCCTCGCTGGGCACCTTGCTGAGGATGAAGCGGGTCTCATCATTCTCCTCCAGGTTGGAGATGTCCTTCATCATGCGGCCCTTCTTGTAGGACACGGAGAGGGTGTTGGAGCCATCAGAGAGCAGGTGGAAGTGCCGCAGGACGAACACCACAGGGATGGGCAGCGCCGCCACGGCGATGAGGGTGATCAGGAGTGCCATGGCCCAGTTGGGGAAATACAGGTAGCGCTCCGCAGCCTGCGGATGGGCCACCTTGAGGGCTGCTGCCGGCTCTGCGACAGCCCTCCCCACCAGGCCCTCCAAGACCGCTCTCCTGCCCTCACCCATGGCCTTCCCCGCCTCTCCCCTCCCACCATCCTGGCCAGGCACAGGCAGGGATGGGGTTCCGACAGGGGCTTACCTGGTCACCTTAGTGAAAGGGTCTAGGGTGGTTTCTACATCTATAAAATGGACTAATTTCACTCCACAGGCAGGGAGAGAGAATATGGGTTAGAAAGACTGGATAAGTGCATTAATCTTTCTGAGCCTCGGTGTCCCCATTTGTGCTACAGGGATGATGCCACCCCTGTCTTTGGGTTGTTTTAAGATTGCGGTTTAGGTGTGAAGGCCCTGGCAGGGCCTGGCACACAGCAGCTGCCCTAGAAAGGGGTACCCCTATCAGTAGTTGCATGAAAGGCCTGGGAAGGTGCAAGTGTCCCGGGGGTTTGGAGCCCTACCCCTCACCTCCTCCTTGATCCAGGCGCTGTAGCCCGGGGGTGTGACCCCCAGCTGGATGACGCTGGCCGTGGTGAGCACAGCCATGCAGAGCGGAGACACGAACTTCCACATGTAGAAATAGAAGCGGTAGGGGCGGAAGCCCAGCATCTCCGTCAGCTCCTGCATGAACCTGCCGGGCATCGCAGAGGGTCCAGCAGTTGGCATCCCTCAGTCACACCTCCCTCTTCCCCCATCACCATCTCCTCCAGAAAGTCTTCCCAGTCCCTCCCTCTTGGGTTCTTCTATTCTTCACATTCAGTGTTCATGTGTGTGGTCCAGCTGGCCTCTGGGAAGGCTCTACTGTCCTCTAAGCCTCTGATTCTGTCACATCATGCCCCATCCAGGAATATGATAGCGCCCACCAGACAAAGCCTGGGCAGGCATGTCTGTTTTTTGTATCAACAGCTTGTGTGTTCAACGGAGTGCCTAGCCTAGGGGTCCCCAAACTACAGCCTGCGGGCCACATGCGGCCCCCTGAGGCCATTTATCTGGCCCCTGCCGCACTTCGGTCAGGGGCACCTCTTTCATTGGTGGTCAGTGAGAGGAGTACTGTATGTGGCAGCACCGCAAAGCGCGACATTGCTCACATACAGTACTACTTCCAGTGACGCGGGACGCACGCGTCATGGCTCCGGAAGCACGTCATATGACGCACATCCGGTCTGTGGCTGCGGTGCCCCGGAAGCAGTGTGAAATAACAGCAGAAGTAGGAAGGAAGGCAAAGCACTATAACCATTACTACACAGTACAGTGGTCCCCATACTCCCCCAAATGTACAACAACATAATGGCCCCTATAACCTCCCTTTGTCCAAAAGTCTCCCCCCACGTTACTACACACCATGTTTCCCCTATTATAAGACCCTGTCTTATATTAATTTTACCCCCAAAAGACGGGGGCTGTCTTATTTTTAGGAGGTGTCTTATAATAGGGGAAACATGCAGCAGTGGGCTTCCCACAGAAGAGGCCCACCGCTGCTGCAGATGTCCAGGACGCTGTATACACAGAGTCACAGGCTGATCACTGCCATCCCTGTGTACAGCACTGGAGGTGGTGCTGGGCCTGTGACACTGTACACCGCTGTCTGGGATAGTGGAGGCAGCAGTGCTGGCTGTGAAGGGTGTCACACCTTGCATAGCCCGGCCCTCCAACGGTCTGAGGGACAGTGAACTGGCCCCCTGTGTAAAAAGTTTGGGGACCCCTGGCCTAGCCCCTTCACCCTGGCCTGGCTCAAGACTTCCCCTGCTGGCAAAGCGATAGAACTGCACTTCTCTAGTGTCCAAAGGTAGAGAGCTGCCCTGACTCAGGGGTTTCTAACCAAGGAGTGAGCAGAATCCGGGGAGGCAGCCAGGTTTGTGCTTGAATGACATACAATGGAATCATCTTTACCTCAATAACACCTATCTGAAATCTTGCATTACTTTCTATTATATTATGAATGCAAGCAACCACAGTAGTATTAACAGTACCTGTGACTGTCACCAATAGATCAAATTACAGATATTCTCATATTACATCACGTTATTGAAGATATCTATATTGATCATCATTGATTTTCATCACTACTTCAGAGTTACCGTTGTTAATAGCTCTATAGCTAGATCTTATACCAATGCATCAAAGTGCTCACACATTAATTACTATATCACAGATTTTAAACAGTATTTCGCTTTTTTATATATAATTAGTTTCTTATATAATCCTACACATTTTATTTTATGCATTTAAAATAACATCCTGAGGAGGAGTACAGGGGCATCACCAGACTGCTGAAGGAGTCCGGGACACAAAAACTAGCCCGAGTACCTTACGGCAGCGTCTGCAGCCCCGGCCCACCATGGGAGGAAGCAGAGGTGTATCCTTTTCCCGCACTCCCCGGCCCCTCCCATGCTCTCACAGGAAGCAGATGGCCCCTGTGAAAGAGCCCCACTGCCAAACCAGGTCCAGGCATCAGGGAGGCTCAGACCGAGTGGGTTAGTGGAGGTGGGTCTTGCCAAGGACAATGTGGCCACAGCCAACACTGACTGAGTCAGACAGATCTAGTTCTAGAACTCCTGGGAACACCTATGTGCCCTAACATGAAGGATGAGGCCAAGAGCTGGCCGCAAATGTACGACCGCCCTAGGCTTACGCTGTGAGACCCAATCCTTTCTTATGGCTGAATCCTCTTAACCTGCATGACCCCACACTCGGGGCCGAAACCACAGCTCATCTCATATCCCTATCTAGGCTCCTTAACATTGTGAACCGGGCTGCTGAAGTCTGCATTCTCTGAGGGGTAGGGCCTCTTGTAGACCAACTAAGCCTTTCACAAATGTAACAGAATTCTGAGGAGCTGGTACCCAGGAAAGGTGCTATGGTAATTTAAGAATGATGCCAGGACCTGTACCCAGGACACCCAGTCCTCAGCCTGGCTCTGTCTCTCCCTGGGCAAGTGGCCTTAGGCAGTCATGTCCTTACCCGATGCCTCAGTTTCCCTAAATATCTGTAAGGGCACTTTCAGCTCTGCCATTGTGACTCTATGATCTGCCTCTCCAGGAAGTCATGATAGGACAGACCCCTCCTCCCATCCCACCTTTCCCTCACGTCCCCCTTACTTCTTGGTTCCATAAATCCAGGCCACGGCGATGTTCTCAAGGATGACAATGACAGTGAGTGGCAGGGTGGCGGAGTAGTCATCGAACATGGTGACAAAGTAGTTTCCGGAGCGCTGGACGAACAACAGCCCCACGAAGAATGCAAAGACACAGCAGCCCACTACAGAGAGCCGGGAGGCCGGTGTGGGGGCAAAGGTGCAGGGTGGGTGGGGCCCAGGGGGTCTCGGGGGCACCCAGGCCCCTCCCATCACATTCCTCCCCCAAGCAGGCCAGCAGCCCCCCTGCCAGCAGGCCCGGTCCTGCACCAGGGATCCAGATGCTGATGTTGTGAGCCCTGCTCTACTAGTCAGGGAGCAGCTGAGGAAGGCATGGTGTCTTTCATCCCATGCCTCTACCCTAGCACAGTGCCTGTGGCATGTGCTCTACCTAATTGCTGCATTTAACTTCAGTGATTCATCTGTTTCGAGTTTTTTTCTCCACCCTAGCTTCCCCATCGGAGAAAAGAAAGATATCCCCTCTGGGGATGCAGCTGAGAGGTATTCCTGTACGGAGCCCAGATCAACTCAGCAGACACCGAAGGGAACTGTGGACACAGCCTGGGACCAGGAGTGACAAAGATGGAACAGGGTGCAAGGCCAGTGAGCGCCCCTTCCCAAGACGACTCAGTGGGCCCTTGGGGAAAGAGGCAAGGGAACCAACAGAGGGGCCTGGGCCTCCGGGCTCCTGTTTGGTCCAGATTTCCAAGTAGCTTTCTCTTCCCGGCTTGTGAGTCACTGAGTGGCACAGCCAGGCCCCAGCTGTGTCCCGGTGGGGGGTGGAGCTTGCTGGGTGTGGGGTCTGGAAGGACCCAGTCAGAAGCCAGAACGGGACTGTTGTTCACCAGGGCGGCCTGCAGGGCATGGGCGTGGGGAGCAGGGAGGAGTTACCTGTGAACATCTCCTTGGGCACCTTGAAGGTGTCGATGATGGGTGTGGTGATGCCCGCCATGGTCCCGATCATGCTGCCCAGGCCCAGGTTGATGAGCATCAGGAAGAACATGACAGACCAGAATGGGGAGGCGGGGAAGTGCGTCATGGCCTCAGTGAAGGCGATGAAGGCCAGGCCTGTGCCCTGCACGGACTGAGGGAGGGGTGGAGAGCAGGACCCATGAGGCCACGCCTCCTCAGGGAGCCCACCGTTTTCTCCCCGCCGCCCTTCGAGCTTTCGGAATTATGATCCCCTCTTTCACAGGGGTTCCCACCCCCACCTAAATCCTGTTGATTTTGGCCAGTGGGTCTCGAACTTTAGCAGGCATCAGAATCTCCTAGGGGTCGCTCAGAAACACCAACTTGTGAGTTCACCTGTGGGACCTGAATCCACAGGTTGTACCAGGAACCCAGGTGATTCAGACGAAGATGCTCATGTTTAGAAATACACCCAAGCTCAGGACCCTCCTCCTCTAAGATGTCTTCCCTGATTGCTCCAGCCACACTGTGGCCGCTCCCAGCTCAGAACTTCTGAACTGCAGATCTTGATGCGGTGGTCCCAACCTCGGCTCTCAATGGAGGCACACTGGAGCCTTTAAAAACACCGACACCTGGGTCTCACCCCAGAGACAATGACTGGATTGGTCTGGGGTGAAGCTGGGTGTTGGAGTTTTTTTTAAACCCAAGAACTCTAATGGGTGGCCAAGGTAGAGGATCACTGCTTTAATGCTTGGGCCCCTGCTTGTGGGTCAGGTGACCACACACTGCCCCCTGTCACTTACACATTGCCTTGCAATGTTCAGTGATTGTAAGAGAATATTTTTTTTCCCTAAGTGAGTGTATAATTCTTGTCATTTGAATGCTATCGGAGTTGTGTTGTATGAAAATGCTGCTATAAACCTAGTTTTATTCAGAGAACCAGGCCATGCCCATGAGAACTGGGCAGGGTTTCAGAGCATGTAGAAAGGGGAGGTCCTTTATGCTGCTAGGGCAGGGGTCCTGAGATTAGGCTCTTTTGCTCTCCATCACCTGGGAAGGGGCTGGGGTGCAGGATGCAGTTCCCTCAGCATTAGGACGGTGCCAGTCCAATGGAACTAACTTTTATTTTTATTTGTATTTATTTATTTAGTTATTTTTGAGATGGAGTTTCGCCCTTGTTGCCCAGGCTGGAGTGCAGTGGCGCGATCTCAGCTCACTGCAGCCTCTGCCTGCTGGTTTGAGTGATTCTCCTGCCTCAGCCTCCCAAGTAGCTGGGACTACAGGCATGTGCAACCACATCCAGTTAATTTTGTATTTTTAGTAGAGATGGGGTTTCTCCACGTTGGTCAGGCTTGTCTTGAACTCCCAACCTAAGGTGAGCTGCCTGCCTCAGCCTCCCGAAGTGCTGGGATTACAGGCACGAGCTACTGTGCCTGGCCTGGAGGTGACCTTTAACATGGAGCTCAGACTTTTACCATGGAGCCCTGGAAAAGCACCCCTCCCCCAGTCCCATGAAGGACAGGGTTGGCCCAGGCTGACAGACACTGGCTCTGCCCCATGTGAGCCTTGGTTCCAGCCTGGTTCCCAAGATGCTGTAGGTATATCTCTTTCCTGTTACCCCTTCTGACAGAACAGTCATTTTGAATGTGTCTGGCTATGCAAGTATAAATAGAAGCAAGGTGTCCTAACTTGGGCCTGAGCATTAAGGAGTCAGCATCCTCCAGCTCCACCCTAAAGTTTAAGTGTCATCGTGGCAGGGAGACTGAAGTGGAGACAGCTGGGAGAGGGGCAGAAGCATCAGGGGTGGTTCTGAGCATGGGCTCTGGATCCAACTACCTGGATTTGAACCTGCCTCTCTCCCTTACTAGTTGTGAGACTGCGATCAAGCCACCCACCTCCTAGGCCACTCATCTGTAAGGTAGACAACAATGTGAATACTCAACTCACAGAGCTGTCATGAGCGTCAAAGGAGACAGATAGCAATGGGCAGACACTAACTTCAACACTTCTTTGATGCATACCATGTCAAGGCACCGTTCTGAGTGCATTACCTATGGCAGTGACTGGTGCATGAGAAGCCCACTCAGTAAATGGAAACACCATCCCATTCACTTACTGTGATTTCGGAGAGGTGTGTGTGTGTCTTACTCCTTGTCTAGCTCAAGCCTACCTCCAGGCAGACTTTGGCCAACACCTTTCTTCCCTTTCTCTCCCTCTGGACACATAGCAGGTCCTTGCTTACTAGGTAAACTAATCACTGCCTGTCAGCATCCTAAGGCCTGAGTGCAAGCTCCAGCTGGCCCCAGCAGCTCTCTGGGTTCCTGCCTGTCCTGAGAAGGGCAGCCTGTCCCCACACCTTGTCCAGCTCATCCTCCAGAAGGCAGGGGTCAAGGCCCAGGGCTGAGAACTGGTCCTCCTTCACGGTCATGATGACATTGTACATCTCCATGTAGTCCTTTGTGGTCAGGTGGGAGAAGTTGACGTGGGGTGGGATAAGGTCCCGGCTCAGGACGTTGGTGTTGAGGTACCCTAGGATTTTCTCAGCATTTCTGCAGCACAAAACAGAGAGGGCCAGGTAAGAAGGCAGGGGTAGGCAATGGGTGAGATCCCGGAGGCTCTTCCCAGGCACCAAGTGAGACCCTCATGGGTCACCGACAGAGACATCTCTGAGCTTGGCCTTGAGGCCTGGAGCTGGGGACAGAGTGCTCCTCTGATCTCCATTCCTCAGCCTGAGTGGAGGGGACCTCTCCCCATGTACACCCCCCCCCCCGCCCACTCCTGGGTAAGGTAGACGGGGAGAAGGAGAGACAGGAGAGATGCCACCTACTCGACCACACACTTCTCATTCATGATGTTGGCCTTGAAGCCCAGCACAGCAAACACCACAAGGGTGGCCAACACCGACGTGAAGAAGTTGATGAAGGACACCAGGGCGGCATCGAAGTGGCAGTTGTTGTCCTGCTTGTTGTAGCTGGAGAAGGCAATGACACCACCAAAGCCCAGGCCCAAGGCAAAGAAGACCTGGGTGGCCGCCTCCCGCCACACCTGGGGGTCCAGCATCTTGTCCAGCTATGGCAGAGGGCCAAGGCAGGAGGAAGAAAAGAAACACAGAGAAGATGGTTTTATTCACAGGCATACCCCCTTTCTCAACCTCAGCGGAGGTCAGAGGCAGCAGGCCATGGTCATAAGAAGCTGTGTGACCTTGGGCAACCTCCCTAACTCTTCTGAGCCTCAGTTTCCCCAATACGCAGATAACAAGAGTATCAACTTCAGAGGATGATGGTGAGGCTTCAGTAAGATAACATAGCTCAGTGCTTACATAGTGATTTTAACTGCTGCCATTGCTACCATGCAGCCATCATACTAAGGAACATCATCAAGGCCATCACATACACTCATGTAGCGCACAGCTCTAGAGAGTGCCATTCACTTAGACTACAGTGTGACGGGTGCCTCCTAGAGTCCTGCAGGGAACAGCCTGCACAGCAGCACGAGAAAACTGAGAACACCAGAATCTCCCTGACGCCTCCTGCATCTCAAGCTCCTCTACTTCATGGAAGAAAAAACCCCAAACCGCTTAGTTCTCTCCTACACCGCTCCCCACCCCACACCACTGCCCAACCTGAAGCACAGAGCCTAGATGCTTCCTGGAGAAAGGGCCCCCACCGAAGCCTCCATCTGCCCTCAGACCCGACAGAAGCCTGAACCGCGACAGCATCTGGATGGCATGGGGCAATTTCCAAAGCCCCTTTCCAACTCATTTCTCTTTTACTGTTTGTTCCTTGGGACAGGGGCCAAACCCTGGACCCAGCACAGAGCTTTAGAGTCTCAGACAGATCCAGATCCAAATCCTGACTCCCGTCTTTAAATGGTTATGAAGCCTTAGGTAGGTGGCAGTGACTGTGTTATGAGCCTTAGTTTACTCCTCTGAAAAAAGGGAATAGTAATACAGTCTTGGTCTCAGAGTGAATGTGAGGATCAAATGTACAGCAACAAGGAATGCCTGTACATGGTAGCACTTAACCCTAACAAAACGACGCTGGCCTAGGCAGGACAGGGTATTTTGTGCTTTGCCAGGGGGCAGGGAGCAGGGGTTACTATTCGCATTTCTAAAGGGTAAACTGAGAACCCAAAGATGAAATTACTTGCTCAAGGTAATAGAGCTGGTTAGTCGGGGCAAAGTGATCACTAAAATATAGATATTCTGGGCCAGGCCTCTATCCCCAACCCCAGCATCAGCTTCTGACTCAGTTTGCCTATCACCTACACTCTTTTTTCTTTTCTTTTTCTTTTTTTGAGATAGAGTCTCACTCTGTCGCCTAGGCTGGAGTGCAGTGGCGCGATCTCCACTGTAACCTCCACCTCCCGGGTTCAAGCAATTCTCTGCCTCAGCCTTCTGAGTAGCTGCGATTACAGGAACCCACCACCACGTCCAGCTAATTTTTGTATTTTTAGTAGAGATGGGGTTTCATCATCTTGGCTAGGCTGGTCTTGTTCCCCTAACCTCGTGATCTAGCCGCCTCGGCCTCTCAAACTGCTGGGATTACAGGCGTGAGGCACCTCACCCGGCTGCCTATCACCTCAACTCTTTAAAGCATTTTCCCCTGTGACCTTTGCTGCTGAGGTGAACCTAAGTGACCTCACTCCAGACAGACTGAGGGAGGCAAGGAGCCAGCTAGAGAGTTCACGTCCCTGTGGTAACAAGCCCTGTGTGGGTCTGGGTCTGGCTGCCCCTTCTGAGTACCTGTGGGTAAGTCCTCATTCGAACAGTGAGGTGCTGGACTTTAGGGTCTGTCTGGACTTCAGCTGTCTTTAATATCACAGCCCTAAATAACAACCAGGACACAGGGCGCACGTGCCGCCGTCTCAGCAGCTTCCTAGGCACATCTGAACATCTGGCGACCCTTCACCAGCTGAGAAGATGTTGGCACGCTCAGAGGGCTGGCAGGGCAGTGAGGCTGAGGGTGGCACCCCCATGCTGAGGGGAAAGAGGTGGGGGATGGCAGTTGAGCCTTTGAGCTTCAGGGCCTGGGGACAAATGGAGACCCAGGAGGACTGTCTGGTCAGAGAGTATGTGTACTCCAGGGGACGTTAAGGTCCCCCATCCAGCACAGAATAAGGAAAACCATCTTTAGACCACCAAGAAAGCCCAGAACACAGAACTTAAGGATCTAAGGGCCCCTTGGCATCCACGAGGAGACCGTCTCCCCAGACCACCCCTGGGTACTTATTAGGTGTAAGTTGTCTAGGCCTCCCTGTAGCAATGACATGCAGCCACTCATCATCCATCAGTCTCTGAGCACCTGCTGTGGGCCAGGCCTGGTGCTAGGTAAAGCAGAGACCCAGGAACAGAGGCAAGCAGGGTCTCCATCCTTGTGAAGTTTACATTCTAGTTGGAGAGAGGCACATCGGTCAAATGGTCCACAAACAAATGCTAAATTGCAAATGTGACAAAGGCGGTGAGGGCTGGGCACCCAGTGCTCGGAGTGAGGGCTGGGCACCCAGTGCTCGGAGAGCACATAACAAGGGGGTTTGAACAAGTTGGGAGGCCTGGGGAGGCTTCCTAGAGGAAGGGGTCCTCAAGCTGACGTCTGAAAGCTGATGAACGCGAGGCTATGAGGGAAGGTAAGAGCATTGGGCAGAAGGAACAGCATGGGCAGAGGTCCTGAGACGGGACAGAGGCTGGTGTGTAAGAGGGAGTGGAAGATGCCAGGGTGGCTGGAGCAGTGAGGGCGAGGTGGGGGTGGCATGGGTGGGGCTGGGAGAGGAGAGACGTTAGATCAAAGGCCTGTACAGATCCTGTCTTCACCCTGAGAAAGCACCCAACCTGAGAAGCCACCATGGGGTTTGAAGAAGCAGAGACAGAAGCATCTGCATTTCCAAAAGAAGTAAGTGGATGTAGCAGACCTTCCAGGAAGCGCCTCCTGGGGTCTAGGCTGGAAGGGACAGTGGCTTTGCTAAGGGGTGGGTGGTGCCAATGGAGAGACCTTAGGGATGGACTGGAGATGGGAGATGCTGGAGAGGAAGAGGCCGAGGCTGAGGTGAGGGCCATGTCTCTGGCCTGCATACCTGAGCAGGCGGTGACAACGGGGACAGTGGGAGAGGAACAGGTTGACAGTGTTGGGCAGGGAAGGAGCAAGACATTTGTTCTAGAAAGGTGGAACTGAATGTGTCTTTAGGACATCTAAAACGAAATGCCAGGTGGTCCGCTGGACAGATGAGCTGGGAGTCAGAGAGAGGCAAGCTGGAGACAGACTTTCTGAGAAGCAGGTGTGGGGCAGCAGCCGAGGCTGTGGCTCCAGTTACAGAGGGAGAGGCAAGAGCCTGGGGCCGCGTCCGTCTCCAACACCGAATGCAGGGAAGAGCCAGAGTCTCCTGAAAGGGACTGAGAGAAGGAGAAGTGGCAGAGGCAAGAGGAAAACCCAGAGAGGCCTGCGTGGGGGAGGAGAAGGAGTCAGTGCTGCCAGTGAAAGACCCTGAGGGAGTCCGCACAGGGCTTCAGGGGCATCCTCAGAGTTGCTCCCTGATGAGAAGACAGGTGAAGTAAAGAAAGGAGAGGCAGAGGAGAGGAACTGGAGGCAATGTGGATAAGCAGGTCCTTGGGGAAGCAAGCCTGGGATCAGGAGAAGGGCAGTATCAGGAGAAAGCTATGAAATCAACAAAGGGTTGCATTTTTTTATGTTGTCTTGATTTTGTTTTTGTTTTTGTTTTCAACTGAGTGTCTTCAAAAGCTGGAGGGCAGGGATGTGGGGGAAGCTGTCCTTCGTAGGCCCACCCTCGGGCTGCTGATTTGAGAGAGGTGAGAGGAAGGACAGGATGGGGCAGTGGCGGGCAGGTTTTATGGTTGGTTTCTGTCTCTGTCATCTGAGGGAGTTTCTTGGCAGCTTCTGTCTTTCCTGTAAAGCAGGAGGCAAAATCATCTGCTGGGGATGAGTGTGCCGGAAGGGAGGTCAGAGGGTGTGGAGGATTGGACGGGTTTAAAATAGCCACAGCGGAGCGTGGGAGAACCAGGTGACCAGAGAAACAGGGCCGGGCTGTCCAGTACTGCTGGGGGCCCACCACCCTCGCACAGGCGGATGTCTGGTTTTTAAAGTAAGATGAAACGTTAGCTTCTTTAAAAAAGTAATATAGGCCCAAGGTTCCTTATCTAAAAGCCCTGGGGGCCGACTGGTTTTGGAATGCAAGCTTTTGTTTCTAATTTAATTTGAAAAAGGTAATGTGGTGCATATGCTACTTAATTACATAACACCCCCAGCGGGGTCTGGGGCAGCACCCCGTAATCAAACACGTTAGTATTTCTGCGGCAAAATATGAATATTCACACCAAGTGAATCAATAAAGACTATAAATAGCCTCACATCTGTGCAGGTCATTTTGCTTCCAAATGAGTTCTGGAGGATCAAAATCAACTTTTGTTTGTGGGGCTATTTAGATTTTGGTATTGTAGATAAGGAAACAGGGGCTTGTACTGTGCTTAATAGAAATTTGGAGACTAGAAAAGGAGAAGAAAATAATCCTAGTTCCACTGGAAAAGGACTGGTGTGAATTCTCATCTCTTGGGTGAGTTTTTGAAAAATAATCTTTCAAGAATGCTCCAGAAATGGGCAGAGAGGTGACTTATGCCTGGAAGGAGTGCTGGCTGGCCTTCTCCGGTATTCACAAATGTCAATCACAACAGCAATCTGCTGGAGCCTGGGCGCTTTTCCCAGGCTAGAAACCAGGACCTCATGGGAGGGTTCTGAGCAGTTTGCTGAGTTCTAACTAGGAAGAAGTATGAGATTTCTAAGAGAACGAATGTTGAGATTATTCCGTTTAGCCTAAAGCTGCCTCCTTACATATTTTAAGTTTGGCCTAAAGGTTTCTCTGTACTTCGTGAACAAGACAAGTGACAACAGAGGATGAACTTGTGGCCAGACTACAAGTGGAGGCGTACACGACCGTAGCCTACTCTTGTGCCAGTCACTGAGTTTCAGCCAATCAAATGTGGCCAACTGTTTGAATCGAGTTCAAATGAGGCAAACGCCGAGCCGTGACCGGTCCAGCTGTTTCTGTACCTCACTTCCGTTTTC